AATGTTGTTATAGTATTTTCTGCACAATGCTGACGTTTTTATAAAATTAGCAACTTCACTTTGATCATGAACTTGGTTTGAAAGAATGGTGAGAAAATTAGCAAATTATTAGTTTTCCAAAGCTTTAAAATTTGATTAAAGTTTCTATTTTCTGCACAAAATAAAACTTCCCTCCTTGTGTTTAATTTACTCATTTGCATCCAAAGACCTTTGATTAGAATAATTTTTCAAATATAAACAATTAGTAACAGATCATTTACTGACTAAATGTTATAGGGAGAGCCAGCCATCTTTATCCCCTTCACTGACTGCTTTGAAGTTAGTATTTTCTCATGACATTTATTTATATTAACAATATTCAATTAAACGTGATGACCTTTATGGATGGGTTACTTGCAAGGTTATTTTCTATATACTGTATTATGCAAGAAGAAACATGTTCGCTTTAAGTAAATGACTAACATTTCCATATGATTTCAGTTCATTTACTAGTGCCCAGAAAAACACCTTATCACTTATTCAGTTTGATTTGTTGCAGAAGAGGTCTCTTTTAATCAACCTTAAAATGATGTTCTGCTGACTTGCAAATGAAAGGTCAGTGCTAATTGAGAGAAGGATTAAATCTCTGACACCTCTTATCCCTGCACAAAGATTCTGTGCTCTGTGTGTTCTGAAACTTGGCTTTCCCATATTGCCTTACGAGGTTAAGAAGATGAATGCTCATTGCTTTTAATTCTTCCCGTGATTTATGAGCCTCTTGGTATCCTTTCCCTAGAGCAGCTACAACTGTGTGGTTGCTCTGCCTGCTGCTTAAATTACACAGACATCTGCAAAAGTAAATTATGGATTGTTGTCCCACAGACCATAACAGAGCATTCTCTTCATCTCTTCACAGTATTTTTATTAGAACAAAGAGCATGTATGTACTTACGTGTTTATGTACTAAGACAATTTTAAGCTAACCTGAATGACAGCGCAGTGACCTAGACTGGGAACTGACACATAATATCAAAGCAACGTGATACATCCACAGGATAAAGCCAAAGGGAAAAACAAAAGATATATTTATCCACGTGTCTCTCATCTTGAAGGGGTAACACTGTAAGGCTCACACAAGGAGACTAATCTTTACAATTCATTGAAAATATCTACAGTGGATTCAAACGTATCTAAATGACCCTTAGACTCTGAGTGTGGAAGATTTTAATACCATCTGCATCCTGTGACAATTAAACTAAAAAAAATTGCACAAAGAATTACACAATTAAATGTTGAGAATTTGAAAATATATTGGGAAGCATTTTAATTTTTCCAATGATATAGCTTGTAGTAAACATGTTTTAATAATCCTGGAGGCTTGTGGCCATCGTGGATGATGCAAGGTGAGCTATTTGTTCTGAATAAAAGTCTGCTAAAGTTTAAGTTGAAATAGTCACTGTTTCTATATTTTGTCTTATTTTCTGTCCCTGTTATTCTAACTGGGTGATAAATCATAACTCCAAATGACAAGTCCCTGTGAAATCCTAATAGACATGTCCCAAGTTATTAACCTTTGACGAATGAAAAAATTAGAAATATTCCTACATTTATTTTGTTCAAATGTGCTAATTACATCCCAAGCAATATCCAATCAGGGAAAATTACAAAAAACAAAATGTGTAAGACGATTTCTACTTCAGCTTTACAAAAATACATTAAAGAAAAAGAAAGATAGCTTTGCAATTTGTTTCTGAACCTATTGTCAACACAGCAGGACGCTGTGAGCAGTAAAAGCAGAAAAGCTCAAGTCTGTTCCTGGCTGCACAGATCGGCTCTCCCCCTGGGTTCCCATAAGTTTCTGTTTCACTCCATCACTGCAGAGAGCTGGTGTTTCCCGAGGGTCAGGACCTGCTGCTCATAGCAGAGCCCCGAAGAATTAGTTTTTAAAGATAGACCCTATATCTATTGGCTCCACTGTCAGACGACAGCTCATTTCCAAAACTTTCCTTTTCTCAATCCCACTTTTCTCCTCATCTTCAAAGAGAAAATGAAATATTGATGGAATCTTGAAGAATTCTATTTAGTTGAAACCCTATAATATTTATATCTCTAGATGTATAGATGCTTTAAATACTGGTTTAATAAAAGTAATTTGCTAAAAAAACTATACAAGATAGAAATCAAACTAGATTTCTGCTTCAAACAGATAATCTTCCACTTATAATCTGCTATAATGCCAACATTATATACACACACTCACACCACACACACACACACACACACACACACAGATATACCAATGCATGAGCAGTTGTGTCTTCAGGTTACCTATCTACATTCAAGAAGAAATAACAAAAACAAAACACTGTTCCATATCACATACAACAAAAAGCCCAGATCTGAGATATGGTTTAAATTTCATTCACATTTCTTCACCCCTGAGGCCTACTCTTCCAGTTTTATCTGCCAAATATTGTCATATTTAATACACAGCTTATTCCTCAACCCTCTAAATGAGCCAAACTCACCAAATAGAATAGTATTACAGATCAACATGCTTTTTAAAAATCTATACCTGTTTTTGTTATATATTTTTCTCCACTTCTCATGGAGTCCAGGTCTAATGTTTCTTATCTGTGTTTCTATCCTTAGTTCACATGGAAGTAAGAAGAAATGTCCACCCCAAGCATATTTTTCATACTGGAACAGAAACATATGCCACGACTGATCAAAGAGTGCTGTCTAACTATATGGCGACTATGTGATTTGTTTTCCTGTTTTTTCTAATAAGTAATGAATTCATATAATTATATACAAGGTAAGCACGAATATAGTTGAGAAGTGAATAGAACAAGCAATAAATTTTGTAAAATTCCATAGGACAAATAAGTTGCCCTTCTGCATTGTACAAGAAATAATTTAAGAAAAGAGTTGGTGAAATTATAAATAGGACCCAGAAAATTACTCTATTTAAAATTAAATTACAGTGGTACCTGTGTTTAGGAACTTAATTTGTTTTATGACTTTAGAGAAGCAGGTTGTATTTGTGTTTGGGTGGGCAAGATGGCTGCAGATGTGGAGTTTGAACAGAAGCAAAATTTTGTTTGACAATGCTTTTGTTTGAGAATCGAATTCTTTGCAAACAGAAGAGTTTGTGATCTAAGTTATTACTGTAATACAAGAAAATTCATTTCTTAATAAAGTAGAATTAAAATGATTCAACTTCATACCTATATGTTTAATAGTGTGGATATTATTCTCTTTTATTGTAGTATTCTGGAAATGTTTCTTTCTTGCCTACTTACATACAAGAAGCCTATAAAAACTATTTCAAGCCCTTCTCTTCATATGAACTCTGCTATGATTTGAAAATCCTAATTTATTTACATTTATCCTTTCTCAGGTTATTTTTAAATTTTCTATTTAAAATAATTAGAAATCTTTTTAAATTTTTTAATGTCAGTTAAAGCACAAAGTGAACCAAAGTGCATTTGGGAAGGCTAGGTCTCTCTTTTTTTTTTAATTTGTGACTTTAGACCTTCTAATGCTATATCAAGCTTTAAAGAAGGAGACTCATTAATAGTTTGAATGAGGTCAAAGTTGTACCTTGATGGTGAAGTCCATGCCTAGCATGTATGAAGCACTGGCTTAGATCCCCAGCAATCAATCAATAAATAAGGTAGCTTAGTAGTAATTCATTACTCATATTTGTATCACATATTACATGTAGGTTGATGTAATCATGGGCATTATATGACAGAAAATTGTTAATTGAGGAAATATATTAGAAGTGTTCATCTTTTATATGTGCAGGATCTGAAATAAAATCAATATCAATATTATTCGAGATGTGATATTTAAATATTAATTCAAATCTTATGCAAGTTATAATTTTTACAGTGCACAAAAGTAAGGTATTTTCATCACAAAATTTGATTGCTGGTGCCAATAAATTGATGAGCAGAATGGATGTCCATAGGGAATAGATTTTATTAATATTTGAGATATAAAAGTTAATTTATTTTTAAGTAATAGTTAAATTTTTTCTAAATTTTTTATGGTTTTTATTCAAAGCTGACACTTCACATTAGTTGATGATATTATAATAAAACTGGGTTACAGTTTCCCAAGCTTTAAATAAACTAATCTCATAAAAGAAATATTAAAAATAACAAGTTCTTTTGTACCTATTAAATATGAGCATGCACAGAGTTTGAACAAATTTCACACTGTGAGGCATGCAGCCATATTATTTTAATTACATGCCTGCCTTGTGTCATTAACCTTTTATTTTGGAGCTGTCATATTAATGGTTAACCTTAATTGATAACTGATTGAGAAGTCAGAATATCAAGGTTGTTTTGACTGCAGCCTAAGAATAGATTCTAGCATTGCCAGACGGGGAGTGTCAGAGCACACTTTAATTATTGTGTCCATGAAGGTTAACTGTAAGTGTTTAAATATCAGGGTCTAGATTCCTACCATCCACCAAGGAAAAGGAGCTTATAATTGCCAACAAAAGAAACAATTAAGCAAGACCGTGCCATATTAATAAAGACAAGAACATTTCTGATTTTGTTTCCTGTGTGAAAGCTTCAACTGAGGTATGCCTTTGAAATTAGACACATCCAATTTAACAAAAGTAATATCCACTAATTATGGAAGAGAAAGCAAAGTGCCATGAAGCCCAAATACAAAAGAAGAAAATCAATTTCTATTTTTTTAGAAGGCACATAATCACTAGATCTTCTCGTATAAATCTGCATATAGATTGAAAGAGTATGAGAAATGTACAATAAAACAGTAAAACATATATAGGCTCTTTGCTAAAAGAAATGATTACTTAAATTTCATGATTTTATACTGCTTCTGTGAACCATCTGGAAATACAGAATAATTTTTAATACTCTGATTTATAATAAAATAGGTATTTTAAAACTAAACAATTTAAATATAAGTTGAATTTTTGAGCATTTAATAAGAGCTTAAAAGCATATATCTTGGTAAGATTTGTCACCTACCTTTAAAAAGGTTGGCATGCTTTAAAAGTCCAAAATGCTATTGACTTCCAATTTCACTGTATTCCTCAGTTGAGCAACTGGTCTGTAAACAAAGCTAGAAAGGAAGCACACACAATCTGAGTTTAACTATTTTAATATGTATTTATTTATGAACACATTATATTTGCAATCATAACTTGGTGTTGAACTGCTTTAAATTTATACTGAATTTGAAAAAATTCCATCCCATTCTTATCATTTGATTGGTATGGGACATACAAATCTGAACTTGGTGTTGATTGTCTCACGATTTAATTATTTCCCGCTAAAACAACTTGTTTGGTACTTAATGTTTTTGTGGAACTCAGCATACTTCTTGGAAACTTTTAATACAGAATCCCAGCTTACCATTGTACTTATAGCCCAGAGTATATAAAAGGTTCTTATATACTTTACACCCAACTTAATCTACTATTAATGTCTTCCAGTACAATGACACATTGGTCACAACTTTCAGAATATTGTAGTAAATGGACTCAAACGAATGAACATTGATGTGTTATTTGAATGGTTTTTCTTCTAATACCAAAGGTACTACATTAGTGGCATTTAGACTTTATGTCTTATTGGCTTCCTATGGATAGTGATAGTTTTCAGACCTTTTTCTTGTACTGACCATGTTAATTCTGAAAAGTAGTGGCCACACATATAGAGATTGTCTTTGAATTGGAATTTACCTCGTGCGTGTGTCATGGGTTTTTGAACAGAAGCTTTCAAAAGTTCAGTATCATTTCCCTCATTTCCTAGCAAATGTGCTGGCCCATATGACTACTTTTGATGCTCAACTTCATTAGCTGTCTGGGATAATGTTTGCAATAATTCTGTACTGTAAAGTTACTTGTGTTCTCCTTCTCATACTGTACTCTTTTTAAAAATGTCACTAAAAGAAGCTTGTGAATCAAAAAGAGAAGTTAACTTTTACCCTCTTGAAGAAGAAATACTACATGAATAATTTGGAGTCCTATTATAAAAGAGATGTCTGTTTTCCCCATTTTTATTTTGGTGCACTCATTCACTGAGTTATTCTATATATGTGCATCATATGCATCAGTGGGATTCTTGAAACTTGTTATATTTTGTGTTATACAATGCTGTAGCATTTTATTGTTTTTCTTGCTCAAATTATTTCATCATTAGCCTTTGAGAACTCTTTCAATTGGGTTCAGTGTCTTTTTGACATACCACACTGGTGTGTTTATTACACGTGCTGGCACCACAAATTAATCCATTTCATTTCTTATTGCATAGTGGAAATCTTCCAAACTGTTTTTCTTTAGAATTAAACTTAACCATTTGTCCAAGGATCCTTGGTTACCTTACTGAGGAATGGTAGTAGAATCAAAGAACAGCTCAATAGTTATGCCCCTTGCCACTGGGAGGCTATTGCTTCTAAGTCTCTCAGTGGATTGAGGTACAAAATATATCTATTTATTTTAATATATGTGTATTTATAACTGTAGATATTTTCATAATTATCAACCTGTATCTATAACTATGACTAGATAAACATTATGTAGTACTGGTAAATTAATCTTTAATCCCAGAATATGTTTTAAATAAACCACATCTTGGATTTAATATAATATTGAAAACATATCTTCTATATGCATTAATATTCATAGGTTCCATGAATCATGTTATAAATGTTTTTATGATACCATCTTTCAGCCTATCATAGACCACCTTATAGCTCTCCTTGACCATTCACATAGAAGAACAAATATTTTAATACAACAGCTTTCCCAGGAGTCTATCTCATTATAAGAAAGTTGATATGGCTAAGGTCACAGGGGAAATATAAGCACACACAATGGTGGAGTGTTTTAAAAAATTGCTTAAAATATGAAAGGATAAGCATATTATTAACTTGTTTAGAAAGATAGATGGATATTGCTTGATAATGAAACTCTAGTAAGTATTCTTTTTCCTAAAGTAGCATAACTGATATGCTGCAGTTATTTCATAATAGGAAAAGCAAAGCTACAGATCTATATAATCTTAAGATATTAATTAAGCAAGTTTCTAAAAAAATTTGAAGGAAATTTATTTTAAATCATGATAAATTTATAGAATATTATGACTGTATGACTGGTCTCTTCTGTTGGATCCATTTACAAGGTACTGTAATACTATGAAATAAAAACCACAAGGTACTAACAATTAAGTCAAAGGAGTGGGAGGTGATGGCTCAGGTAATCATGACGGATAAATAAAATATGAATGGCTTTGGTGTGGTTTAAATTAGTAAAATTATTAAGGACATCCTACACTAGCCACATGAATAAAGCAAACTAGGAGTGACCTTTTGGAATGCAACTGGTATATAGAAAGTGTACTCCTATCTACACATTAGAGATTAGTAAAATAATCAGGACTTCAGTTTTGAAAATCTGTACAAACACCAGTGGACCATTAGGAGCTCTAGATGAAAAGGCGCACTCCACTGAAAACCAGGTGCCATACTTAGGCCTCATGTGCTGAGAAAGTCCAGAGCCACACAACTCTTTGCTATAAAGACTCTCATCCAGAATAATCATGGAAAAGTTGGCAGAGCCCTGGTGAATCAGTAGAACCTCAAGAGAGCAAATAAAATTGTTTCAAAGACGTTCTTCTGTAATCCTAGGCACCAGACTTCTATAGTAAGGAAAAGAAAAAATACACGAGAATCTTTGTTTCTTAGGAATTATAATAGGGTGATATATGAAAGATAGATACTTTATTTTAAGCATTTAAAGGTAAGGAATAAAAAGCATAAAGCAAGGAAATTTCAGATATATAACAAATTTTTTTAAAACCCCACTATATATGAATATGTGTGCGTGTGTCTGTGTGTGTGTGTGTGTGTGTGTGTGTGTCTGTGTATGCTGTCCTAAAATGAGCCTTTTGGGCCATGTGTAGCTAATCCTAATATTTATTTACCAGAGCAAAGCCTAAGAAGTGAACAGACTGTTCAAAAAAATAAAATAACCGTATTGTTCACCAAAAATATAAAAATCATGAACAACACAAATTTCAGATCTGTGAACAAAGATTTAGACATGCAAATGACAATACCAAATAATATTTTGGAAATAAAACAGAAAAGCTTCCTTTCAAAAACACTTGAAAATTAAAATCTTGTATTTAAACCTAAATTTACAAATAAAAACTATGTCATTGACTTTGAGAAGATATTTTCAATTCACAATACAAGGTTTAAACTATAGATTATTTTAAGAATGTCAATAATCAAAGAAATATTAAATTTACAATAATATTAACTGAGTATTCATAGGAAGGGAAACAAAGAATTCTAGAAAGCATATAAAAATGACACTGTATTGGTCATTATCATGGAAGTAAAAAGCAAATAACCAAGGACATATTCTCACGTGGTTAAAAACATAAAATATTTATTAAAAGATAAAAGTAGTGCTTGAAATGAGCAATAATTGGTGAAGGTATTGAGCAACTGATACTTTCACTTGGGGCTGGAAATGAACATTGATACAAGCGCTGTGAAGAAACATTTAGCAATGTGTGGGGAAGGTGAAGATGCAAGTGACTGTTGCTCAGCAGTTCCATCCCTGCAGGAATATACAGAAAAATCATGGGTGTGAGCACAAAGGACATGAACAAAGGTGTTTATTCCAGGGCTGTTCATTGTTGAATAGTATTTGCTATATGAAACATGAAATACAAGTGATGTTTGCCTAAATATTTCAATAATTTCATTTAAGAAATTAGTTTTACTCATAATTTATTGGAAATATTTAACTATTTTTGGTAAATAGGTGTATATGTGCTCATATAATTAAATGGAGCAGGTGTGTGTGTGTGTGTGAATAACATACTCAACTTTGTCAAGAGGAACAACCACAAAATTAGATCAGTATTGCTAAGATGAGCTAAGCATACATAAATACTTGAAAATATGGTGCGCCAGAGCCATGAACTTTAATGAAAAAAAGACAAAATTAGGGTCTGAAAAGAAGACACTGAAGTGTCTTAGCTTACGAAATGAAAAGAGCAGAAAATTATTTTAACACTAATGTGCATTTATTAAAGAATTAGATTAATTTGTTTGGTGTACTTCTTCTGACATAAAGATAAATCTCTTTGTAATTAGTTAAACTTTGCAATTAGCTAAACTGTGATGTGTTAAACACTGTAAGGTGTTAGTAAAGAAACGAGAGTAAGAATAAATATCACCTGAAAAATGTAAACTGAGAAAAGTAATGAAATTATAGGTAGTAACTGTGACTTAAAAAGTTCCAGGGCACTGGGCCGGGGATTTAGCTCAGTGGTTTCGCCGCCTACTGTGCAAGTGCAAGGACCAGAGTTTAATCCCCGGTACCAAAAAAAAAAAAGAAAAGAAGTCCCAGGGCATGAGCTCAGATAAAGTACACACTGCACATGGTACAATTCATAAGGTCATTTCAGTTAATGTAAAAAAATTCAGAAATAATTTTATGTCAAAAATATAGCCAGACCACTTTGCAAAAATTCCAACTGGGAACAAGCTTATATTTTGTTTCTAGTGGTCCGAGTTCCGTGAAAAAGATTTGAAAAAGAGTTCAACCTTGTCCTACAATGGAAAATAAGAAATAGCATCAGAGACAAGTTTCTGTTAAACACGAGATGTCAATTCTAAGAATTCCAAGACATTTTTAAAGAATTAAGCATTATAAAAGTAAGGTAGAAATATCCTTGTCAAATTTTGCTGATGCCACCTGAAGTAGAAAACTGATGAACTCACTTACATCTATTGACCACTGCACTTAGAATTTCTTTAAACACAAAAGCAACCACACTTTAAGGTCAACCAACAACCACAACCAAACCAAATATGATACCTGCAGAGGCCAAGTAAACAGAAAACCTGTTGTGGACAAGTGGCACCTGATACAAACTAAATGAGAGTTTCTGCTTTTCCCCTAAAGCATTCTCCAGACTATTACCACATCTCTACTTCCATTGCATAATATACGATAGGAATCTCATAGTCATCAGGTGTATTCAGATCATGGAGCACTTGAATATGGCCCATGTATCATAGAAGTATATGTTAAAGTA